GTCAAGGGTGCTAGAGGGGTACTTTAATCATGAAGGCTGCAACTCCCCCCCTCCAGACTCCCCCCCCTTTTCTAGCTAGTGCGATTCCTTGAACCCCTTGCTTCACAATTCATCTTTTCCGCAGCCATGCTTCAGGGGCTGCACAGCGATATCCAGAAATGAGTTGCATAACCACGCAGCACCCCAAACGTATCCAAGATGGTTGTTTTACACTGGGCCGGAGGCCTGACCTGCAGAATCAGGGATTTCGGTCGGGCAGGACGAACAACATTGCCCGGGACTAGGACATGCCCTGGCTTAGCCAGAGACTCATTTTCGTTTCGCGCTGCGGCACGAGCCCAACGCCCCGCCTTCGGAAGAACGCATCTCAATGGGAGGCATGCTTGGTTGAGAAGTGCGAAGACTGGGAGCCTGTGTCGGGCTCAGGGTGGGTCGAGGGTGCTGGGTGCCAAACTGGCAGGGTGGAGGGGGGGGGAGTCCAAATTGCTGGCAGGGACAGTGTTCTGGACTCCCCCCCCCTGTTTGGCCAAAACAGGGGGGGGAGTCCAGAACACTGTCCCTGCCACCAATTTGGACTCCCCCCCCCACCCCCTGCTTTTCGCACAAAGAACCTCACCGACCTCAAAAAGCAGCAAACATACCGCTCTGCCTCTAAAGTCGGAAAATCATCTCTACCGTTTGCGTGCGCCGGTGGAATGTGCACAGCCGATCGAAAAGTACGATGTACAGCCTGCATGTGTTCAGCATGTTTGCACCTGCCGCGTGAACGGAAATGGTGGCAAGCTGGCATCTGGATCTGGAGACATCTGGTGTGCAGAGTGAACAGACTCGTGATGATTTTCGTTTGCAGGCGTAGTGTCGAAAGTCTGAAATACAATCAGAACTCGCCAAAAACATCCGAGACTGCTTTGATTGATGCAGGTCCAACTTATGCACTTTTGTGCGGCAGTGCTTGTCCACAATACTTAAGCTTGATTTTAAGCCTAATTAAGCCTAATTAGTGTCACGCAAGATTTCTTGATTTAGCCCTAAATAGCCTTAAATAGCCCTAACTAGCCCTTATTAAGCCTAAACAAGATTATTTGTTGGATTCTGGAACACAGCGTCGAGGTAGGATTTAGGGGGGGAGTTCAGGGGGGAGGTGTTCGGGCATTCATGATTTAAGGGTTCCTTGTAAAGCTTTGTCAGGCTCAGTCAACACTCAAGCCAGACGACAGTGTGGCGATGGAAACCGTACGGTTTAATTAAGTACTATGCATATTTTGAGCATCCCCGCCCACATCCCAACCGCGAACCCCGAAGCCACTTCAAGAACGATCCCTAAACCCGGAACCCTTATGGTCTGCCCTATAAGCTGTATATTTGGGGACTACCGGGCTTCGCCTCACGGAAGTCCGCCAACGCCATGGCCGATTGTGCTGCGTCTGAAGCCATCATGCAGCAGATCGTGAGCGTCCATTGCATGGCAGGTTCCAGCTTTGAGCTGAAGGTCAACTCTGCCGAAACGGGGTGGGAAGTAGCTGAGCGCATCGCAGCCGGAGTTGGTCACCCCGCAGGTTTACTTCTGCTGACATCCGGTGGCTGTGTCATCAATCCGCGCCAGCTGCTGCTGCATCAAGTCCAGCACGACGAGATCTGGTACGTGGTGCGCAAGCTTGGTGCGGGCCGTGTCGCAACGCTTTGGGAGCGCTTACTCAAGGGGCAAACAGTGTCTGATGCAGATGTAGCTGCCCTGAACGAAACGATGTCAGTCACCTTGTATTCCCACGAAAACCTCAACCAAGGCATCCAACTACCCAGTAGCCTCCAGAGTTTGACGTTTGGGGCGCTTTTCAACCAGAGTTTGGAGGGCATCCAACTACCCAGCAGCCTGCAGAGTTTGACGTTTGGTGGCCAGTTCGACCAGAGTTTGGAGGGCATCCAACTACCCAGCAGCCTGCAGAGTTTGACGTTTGGCGACAATTTCAACCAGAGTTTGGAGGGCAGCCAACTACCCAGCAGCCTGCAGAGTTTGACGCTTGGTGGCCAGTTCAACCAGAGTTTGGAGGGCATCCAACTACCCAGCAGCCTGCAGAGTTTGACGTTTGGCCGCAATTTCAACCAGAGTTTGGAGGGCATCCAACTACCCAGCAGCCTGCAGAGTTTGACGTTTGGCTACCGCTTCAACCAGAGTTTGGAGGGCATCCAACTACCCAGCAGCCTGCAGAGTTTGACGTTTGGGGACAATTTCAACCAGAGTTTGGAGGGCATCCAACTACCCAGCAGCCTGCAGAGTTTGAAGTTTGGCTACCTCTTCAACCAGAGTTTGGAGGGCATCCAACTACCCAGCAGCCTGCAGAGTTTGACGTTTGGCGACAATTTCAACCAGAGTTTGGAGGGCAGCCAACTACCCAGCAGCCTGCAGAGTTTGACGTTTGGGGCGCTTTTCAACCAGAGTTTGGAGGGCATCCAACTACCCAGCAGCCTGCAGAGTTTGAAGTTTGGCCTCCATTTCAACCAGAGTTTGGAGGGCATCCAACTACCCAGCAGCCTCCAGAGTTTGACGTTTGGGGCGCTTTTCAACCAGAGTTTGGAGGGCATCCAACTACCCAGCAGCCTGCAGAGTTTGACGTTTGGTGGCCAGTTCGACCAGAGTTTGGAGGGCATCCAACTACCCAGCAGCCTGCAGAGTTTGACGTTTGGCGACAATTTCAACCAGAGTTTGGAGGGCAGCCAACTACCCAGCAGCCTGCAGAGTTTGACGTTTGGTGGCCAGTTCAACCAGAGTTTGGAGGGCCTCCAACTACCCAGCAGCCTGCAGAGTTTGACGTTTGGCCGCAATTTCAACCAGAGTTTGGAGGGCATCCAACTACCCAGCAGCCTGCAGAGTTTGACGTTTGGGGCGCTTTTCAACCAGAGTTTGGAGGGCATCCAACTACCCAGCAGCCTGCAGAGTTTGACGTTTGGGGCGCTTTTCAACCAGAGTTTGGAGGGCATCCAACTACCCAACAGCCTGCAGAGTTTGACGTTTGGCGACAATTTCAACCAGAGTTTGGAGGGCATCCAACTACCCAGCAGCCTGCAGAGTTTGAACTTTGGCTACCGCTTCAACCAGAGTTTGGAGGGCCTCCAACTACCCAGCACTCTGCAATTTCTCACTTCGCGGAATTTGTGTGTTGCCACGTGGTGAGCCCTGATGTGCTGGTTTGTGTCCTCTTCAAGGCCAGCTGGGTCGAATGACCGTTCAGGGTTTAGGTTTGAGGGGCAGCTTTGGTGGGACCCTTAATGGGGACCCCTACCCTATAATGGGCTATATAATAGGTATATAATAGGTATATTAAGGGTATATTCAGGGTTTAGGTTTGAGGGGCGGCTTTGGTTCTTGACGAATGTCCTACAGCACCCCACCCTAAACCCTAAACCCTAAACCCTAAGGTCTTCGTCGTCACGGCTGCTGGTATCTATGGCGGCGCTCGTTCCTGACCTCTTTGGATCCCATACCCAGCGGAACTGTTAGGGTTTAGGGTTTAGGGTTTAGGGTTTAGGGTTTTCAGAAGAGTTTGAACTCGCAAGGAAACCCACGTCCTGTTGCTAACCACCAACCCGCTGAGTGTTTTTTAAGCTCTCATCTAATGGTTGATTTGGGCACAAGCCTCTTCTTATGGACCTGCTCAGCGGAGAAAGCGCCACGGCATATGTGGAAATCAAATCCTTGCAGCCCTGTTTTTGGGCTTGCGGCTTCAAAGGGCTGTCGTAGCCCTCAGTACTGAGGGTCCATGTGCCCAACCCTAAGCCCTATAAACCCTAAACCGTACTTGAAGGATCATGGGACTTAGTAACTAGAGTTATAATTAAGGTGACTCTACTTATATCTTCTTATAACCCCGATTATAGGACTTATAGCCTCACTTACTAAGTTCCACGATCCTCCAAGTAAACCTAATAGTCTATACTTCGGCCCTTTCCTGCCTATATACGGACGACTTCAAGGCCAAAGTATATGCTAGTTGGGCACATGGACCCTTACCCTAAGGCTCAAAATAGCCCAAGAGCGTCATACAGTATGACAGTATGATCTCTAGGCCCAAAAGCCTCAAAATGTGAGCCCTTAGAGCCGTTGGGGTAGCGCCACTGCTTAAAGGGCTTCGGGACCTCACATTGAGTTTGACATGCCCACCTTGGCCTGTCCAAGGCCGTAGTTCTATCAAAGGGGAAAAGGAGGGACCCTTAATGGGGAGCCCTACCCTATAATGGGCTATATAATGGGTATATAATAGCTATATTCAGGGTAATATACCTAGGGGTCCTTCTTAAGGGTCCCTCCCTTTACCCTTGGATTCTAGTTTCGCCAATAGTACCCTGTTGCCGGAATAGCTGGTGAAGACCCTCAACCCTCAATCCTAAACCCCTAAACCCTCAACGGCCCTCAACCCTAAACCCCTAAACCCGTGTCGGAATCCCCGAAACGTGGACGGCGCCGGGCACGATCCACCCAGCCAGCCCGGCTTCCCGAATCTGCTCGAGGATCCCTTCTGCAACTTCCAGGAACCCCCAAGTGCCCCTAGCTGGAGCCCTTACCCTAAGGGTCCAAAGGACCCAATAGTTGGGTACTTAGGTTTCGGATAGTAGTTATAAGGTTCCTATTTGGGAGAGTATATGATTGTAAAGGTCTTGAATTTCGCTGAGTAACACAAGCCAGTGGTCCTATGCAGAACAAGCTGCGCCGCAGGCCATCCCTCGGAGAGGCTCTAACTTTTTCAGTCGATTCAACAAATGCCTGAGCTGTAACTCCTATGCTTCTGTTGCATGCAGAGTCCATTGTTTGGACTGCTATCTGTGACCTTGTGCAACGACCGCTCGCCTTGAGCACTCTCAGCATCTGCGAGGTACAACATCACAACTGGGACAGCACTGCCGAAGCTTTACAAGCAGCACAGGTTTCCAGCTAACACAAGGGCTAACTTCTGTGGCGGCACTGACAATCTGCACTCCTCCTTGATGCAAGCGCCAGCAAAGCATCGTCAATAGATGCGGTTGCCGCCATTCTCTAAGCCTCTAAGCAGCATCGACAAAGCGTAACTTGCTGCACCCGTCCAGCATTCCTCAGACCCCATCACTCACGAAATATGTGCAAATGGTCCCTATTTCGAACCTGGTAGAACTGCCCTGCAATGACCTCTCGAACCGGAGCTGGTGGCGGAGGTACTCGAGCAAAAGCCGGTTCATAATCAGCTTGCGTTGACTGATCCTTCATCAATTTCACCTTCGGCTGTTTGTTTCTTGTAGAGGAAGATGTGGAGGAGGAAGGTTGTTCACAAGGTTTCGGATCGGAGGGCTCATCAGGAGGAAATCTCGGAAGAGGGGAACACTCCTTGGGCATGGTGTTGTCGAACTTCTCTTTCAAATCACATAACCTCTCCTTCTGTTCTTCGGTGAGGTCGCCGGGCTCATAGGTCATAAGTGTTTGCAGCTCCTTTAACTCTACCCTGGTCAGCTTCCCTTTGGGTGCCGAGGATGCGGAGGCTCTCAGGGCCTTCACTTTCGCTCCTCTTGTTCCAAGGCATTGTTTTGCAGCTTCCCATAACCCAATCGCAGCTACTGCCCAGACAAGGATTGCCAAATACAGATCTCATGGAACTTCAGCTTGAATGTCCTGTTTTTGAGCAGCCGTGCCACAAACTTGACATAGGAGAAGAAGTCGACGCACCCACGATGCTTCCACATTCATCGCTTTAACACTTCTACCTTCAGAGGCTTCTCGTCGATCAACGATATTCCACATTCTCACCAACTGCTTCAGCTTCTCTCGGGTGAAGGGTTTAGTTCCCAAGTCTGCCCTCTCAAACTCGCCCGGGGTGAACTTGATATACAGCTCCTGCCTCTGGGTCATCTCGCGCACCCAATTTGACCGTAGTCTCAAGTGCCGGGTTCGCCAGGAGCCCGAACTCGTTGTTAGGAGAGAAACCGCTGCCCTGTTGTCCACCCAAACCACAAGGGGTAGTTCCTTGCCCGTGATCTCGGAGATGAGTCCCTTCGTTCACGGCTTCTAACAACTCCGACTCTGCTGTTGACAAAGTCATTAACTGTTGCCTTCCTGCTCGCCAAACTATAGGGCTCGAACCAAGAAAAACAACGGCCGCACCCTGAGAACGTCCTCCACTAGGCGCAAAGGAGCTGTCCGTGTACACGTGCAGCTCCTCCGTCACCTCGTCGGTGTCCTGGGTCAACCCCAAGCGATAGAACTTCGTCTCATTCAGGTAGTCCAAGAGCCTTTCTCCCAAGCGATTAACCATCTCTGGACATCTCGTCAATCTCGCAGCCATGATGGAAACTGTGTGTTGCAAGTCCGGTCTTGTTCGACCCATAAGCCATAAAAGCTCTCCGACCCTCCTTTGCGCTTCCTTCAACGCCGGGTCCTTCTGGTCTACAGCTGTTGGCTCTGCATCTATCAAAGCCCGCTCCTCCTCATCGCTCAGAAGTAGTGTATCACGTGGCCCTTGAGATTGAGACCTCGGCCCGTAAAATCTCGTTCACGAAGCCCTCCTGAGCCAACTCTACTCCATTAGCAACTCGATGGATCTCCATACACAGGAACCGGATCGGGTGGTCGTAGTCAAGAATGTTTAGGTCATCAACCTCTCACATTGAGGAAACCCACTTGAAGAACCCGTGCATCGCCTCCTCCTCAGCATGAAGTAACAGGTTGATACTCATCTCCCATCTGGCCTTCTTGAGCTGCGAGTCTTTGAAGGCTGCCCAAAGGGCCGGTGAGTCCCTGAGTCCATACAAAGCCTTTTCAACGTACCATACATCTCCAGGGACTGCTAGCCCTAAGGCATAGGCAATCCCCGGTGGTTCCAGGGCCACAGGGCCCCCTGTCCAACCGGCTAGGACAAAGGCTTGCCTCACATCCGTGGTTCCAATGCGCCACGGTTTCCTCGCGCTCAGTGCCAACATTGCCCTTAGCGAGGTAGCATCCCGTCCACTTGCAAACAAGTCCAGGAAGGCTGCATCTTCAGGTACATGGTTCCCACAAGCAACGAATCTGGTTTTTCGCCGGTATCCCGGCAATGCTTTGTCTGGCTTCACCGTGTAGACACCCTTGTAAGGAACAATGCGGCAGTCTGGAGGGAGCTGGTTCCTCTTCTTCACCGTGAAAGCCCGCTTCACTGCAGTGAGGTTCTTGAACTCCTTCAAAGCAGATGGTTTCCACTTCTCTATGTTGGCTTTTACATCTGAAAGGCTAACTGTGTGAGTTACCTCCAGCTGCTTCCCCCTCGCCTCATTTTCCTCGAGGATGCCCTCAATGTTCGGCGTGTACTGTACTTCGGCCTTCTTGATCATCTTTTTGATTTGAGGTTAGGATCCAGATCAAAGGCTTCCTGGGGATGATGACTGGACTTATCCCTGTTGCACCCATTGAAGATTTCAGTGTGCTCGACTTCGACAAAAGCACAGCCACAATTGGTGACTGTTTCAGCCACCATCATTTTGACCGCTGGGAACGCCGAAAAACCATCGCTCACGTCCTCCTCCTCAGTGTCCTCGTCCGGGGAGTTCAACGATTCGGGGTCCACATTAAACCCATGCTCACTGAGAAGATCTGCTCCTTCTTGGGTGAGTTTTGTCGCTCTAGGAGTGTACAGGAGCAACACCAATCTTTCACCTTCCCAAGGTTGAACTTCATGCCAAAGTCTCGGACTGTAACTCACTCTACTTTTACCTCGCTGCATTCCAAAAACCGCCCTCTAATGATTTGGCCGTTGGGGAGGGCCTTGGTAACGCACTCAGACTCTTCCACATCATCATCCTGGAGCCATAACGAACCATGTTCAAACTGTTGTAGTGGTAGAACGTGGTTTTTGGACAAACGATAGTTGTGGGAGTCTCGACGAAGGCCCAACTGAGCATTCTTTGCCAAACCCAATGCAGACAACTTCACATCTCCACAGTGTGGTACTTCGCAAACTCAGTCAGGTACTTGGTGGCCTTGGGGAATTCTTTCACGTTAGATCTCGTTCCAGCGACGCCTCCATGTACAAACGCCCCTGTATACCACGAAGTCACCGGGGCCTTCTTGTTAAACCTCGCGTCCGATTGGCCAAGGTTTTCCAAGAGGTAGTAGAGCTTCACCACCTCCCCGATGTCGTAGTTCTTCTCTTTGTTGAGCTTATTGGCCCTGAACTCGATCTCATCCTTTAGCTCTCCCAGTGTTTGCGGCTTCCCATCACCAAACCACTCATCTGGGATTCCACCACCAATGGCTGGCTCGAGGAGGCCCTGCAGGTCTCTCTCAGGCTCCACCACATCATACTTCACGCTCTTCGCCACGGTGAGTCCACCATCTTCTCTCATGATCAGGTGGCCTCTTCCAACATCCATTGCAGGTCCCCGGTACACACCCTTTTTCCACCTCGCTCCAGCTGCTTCGTGCTTCTTCTCCTTCTTGCCCTGGTAGGCTTTGGATCTAAACCACACTTCGTTTCCAAACGCGGTAGCCGGAGGGGTAGTCCATGAGCTAGCTGGAAAAGCTTTCGCCCAGGCTGTTGCAGCGGCATGTTGCATTGCCATCGGCCAATCCCGTGGTGAAGCCTTGGCTGCTCCAAGAAGAGCTCTCACTCGAGCCTTTGCCCACTTGATGCCCAACTCAGCTGAGCTGTTGCCTGAAGGATCTGCTCCAGTCGTTTTGGTGTGCCTCAACTTTGAATCCACCGTCCATTCCTTGAACGCCTTCGCCTTGAACTCTCTGGCCCTGTCTGTGTGGATGGTTTCCACATGGAGTCCTGTTTGTTTCAATTGTAGAAGGATCTCCTTGGCCGCCTGGACCACATAGTGATTTGTCCTTCCTCGAAGAGGTCTTGTCACATACATAGTTGCCCACTTTTCGGATTGAGACAGTCCTTCCACCGCATCATCCAGGGTTTCTGGACCAAGAGGCAAACTTTCTTCCTCCTCCTCGTCCTTCTCTGAGTCGCTTGAGCGTTGAGCATTGCCTCGGTCATGAAGCACTTCCATTGGGTCCTCGCCATCAAACTCCAGGGGGTCGTCGGGAACATAAAACTCCTTGTCTAGCTCCTCAATGGCCTTTGCGCTCATATACTCCCTGGGGCATCTGTAAGCAGCAACCATGATGTACTTGTAATCCTCATGCTCCATGTAACGGCACTTCTGCTTGAAAGGGCCAGCTAAGTCCAGAGCAATCGTGTACATCTGCGGGTTCTTCCTCCGCCGGTGTTGGTATCCCGTGGCCTGAGCATTGATACAATCCGAACAATCTGCCCGATAAGGCTGGTGGTCATTGAGTAGGTGACGTCGCCAAGCTTCTCTCTGTTCTCTTGTGAGTTTGCTCAGCTTGACCCCATTTTGCACTAGCTCCTCCTCGTCCTGCCAACGGGCGGAGTGGTAGTCCCTGATCAATTCCGACACCAGCTCCTTGAATTCCCTCGGCCACTGTCGGAGCTGTGCCCTCGTCAATAACGAGGGAGGAGCGCAGCCATCATGGAAATCGTAGTTCTTGTCGATCTGGATGACGGTCGGGTATATACGTGGTTGCTATCGTAGTTGGTCTCTTCGCTTTATGACCGTAGGCCCCCATGTAGAACGACACCTCCTTCATTCCCGCCACTGACCGAAAGGCCTTCCACATTTCCGTGGTCCACACCGAAGCTCTCACCGGATCATCATTGCGTAACCTTTCACACTCTGCAGGAAGCTCCAAGAGGAAACCCACATCCCTTTGCCCATTCATCTGCGCCAAGAACCATGTCATCAACTGCTTAGCCACACAAGCGGTTTCCGCATCCACCTTCTGCTGCTGCGCTGCAGTCAAGTCCTTCACACCAAAGGGCTGAGACGTGGTTCTCATCGGATAAGACTCCGGTCCTCTCGTAGGCGCCATTGAGGTAGGCCAAGTGTGATGGGGAGGCGAGCTTATGATATCGGAGATTTGTCCAGCCGAAGCCGCCCACAACAAAAGCTGGTACACCCACTTTTCTTGTTGATGTCCCAAAGCTTGGACTTGGTAATGTCAATGTCCAGGACGATTTTGCCTGCCAGGGGGATCGCGTTGAAGGGGTCGTTCTTGTAGTTTTCATCGCCTGAGAGCATGTTCACAACCCAGTTCGCAGAAGACATCAAGGCTCGCCTCTTCCTTCTTGACAGAGGTAAACTTTTCAAGTATCGTTCTCCGTCCTGAGGATTGAACCCTTCTACGAGAAGCGCTTGAACTTCAGCTGGCAAACCCCGCGTCACAGGGGAAGTGAGGATCGCCTTTCAACAGCGTTGGTCTGGATCCAGTCCTTGAGAAATCTCGTAGCCCAGTCCCTCTTCTCCTCTTTCTGAATCACTTCCAACCTTGCCCTTAAGCTTGCCACGTGCTCGTTCAGGGTGTTCACCTGGCTCATCTCAAGCTCTCGAGTCAAACCCAAAGCACCTGCTGCAGCAAACCTCGGGGCAGTGGTTCTTTATCCGAACCCTGATTGACTTCTTGTGCGGGTGAGTCAACCTCAAACTCTTTGGAGACCAATGAAGGGTGCAGCCCAGGTTCTCGATTACCGCCCCCGATGGCACGATGGGCTGGATCACCGAGTTCTCCTCCTGGACCAAGATTGTGCCTTCGTTGTTCTGTTTCAGAACTCTCACATCCTCGCCGGCCAAGGTCACACGCACTGGTTGTCCTTCCATGTACTCTTCCTCCTTGGCAGGTCTCATTGCATGACTTGCACCACTTTCCAACAGGCCCAGCACTTCCTCAACCGACACAGCATCATCACACACAGCCTTGATCACACCCTCCGTCTCAATCTTTGTCTTGTCCATTGCCACCCCATAGTCTTCAACGACGTTGCCGACATAGCCTTCAACATCTTTCCCACGTCTGCTAGGACTTCCTTCAAATCAACGGAGTCACCATTTGTCCCGGAAGAGGAAGAGGATCTTGCTGGGATCAGCTCCACCTGTGGGTTCTCATCTATGCGTACATTCTTATTCGACGTCGCATTTGAGGTAGTAGATGTCGTAGGTGGTTTGGGTGCTCCGGACTTGGGGTAGATGGCACTGTGGGTGGTGGATCAGTACTCGGGATCTTCTTGTTGGGACAGTCTTTGGCCGAGTAGTCGGACGCGGAGTGGTTGTCGTGGTTGAGGTGTTGGTATCCCTTTCCGTCCTTACGGGCTTGATTCTCGGCTCCGGCTTTGTGGTTGACCCCGGCACAGTGGTAGTAAATGCCGTAATCGTTCCGCACTCTGCCAAAAGGTGATGGTAGTACTTCTCCACCGAATCCAGAGACGGCTTCGTGTCCACGGACAAGTGGCTTTTCACCAAAGAAGTTCGGAAGCTTGCTTCAGCATCCTTTTCGAGCACATTCTTGGTGATCGTCGAGAGGCCTCTCATAAGGAGGCTTGGATCTGGGGCCGAAACCCCTAGCTCCTTGCATCGCCTGAGCCATCTTGCCCACGTTCGTAGTGCTTTCACCGCCTTCTGTGCGCTGTGCTCAGGCTCTGGCTGCTGAAGGTTTTGTAAGATCATCACCGTCTCCTGCTGTCGTCCTGGTTGATAAATCGTCAGGAGTCTGAACACCAGCGCCGTCACCGAACCTGTAGACCTCCGCTGAACCATCTCTTGACGAACTGAGTCATGGAGGGCCAACATGATCATCGAACCACCCCTCGAGTTAACCCTGCTCCAACGCCCTGTTTCCAACTCTTCATCTCTGGGAGGTTGTATGCTCAGCTTCTCAACTGGGGAGGCATGGGTCCATGTCCGGTAAGACTCATCCGCTAAGGCTCTTACTCTCGTCCACCAAGCCGCACTCCCATCGGACAGGTCCTGCATAGTGGTCGTGATCACCTCCAGCCAATCCATCACGTCGACTGAACTCGTTGCCGGATCACTTCCGGAAGGACTGGTAGCGTTGACGAGCCTGGTTTCACCGTCTCGGGGCTCTTGTCTTCGTCCTTTGACTTGTCCTTGTCCTTATCCTTGAGCTGAGTCAACATAGCCGCCTGCAACTGAGCGATGCCGCCTGCCAACAAGGACATAGGATCAGGTGTTGTTGCCCCACCTAGCCACTGACTGGGTGTTCCCGTGGTAGTAGATGCCGTAGGCTTGGGGATGCTATCGCCAGTCTCATTTGTCGAAGAATGACCCGGTACCCTTGGTGCACTTGGCCTAGCTCCAAGAAACGACGACGGATCACTGCAACCCTGTTCAGCCCTAGGCTGAGATGTACCTCATCGACAAGTGCGAAGCCGGCAAGATGAAATACACGATCATCCACGCAGGCGGGGATTTGGGTTTTGGTTTTGGGGTTTAGGGGGATGTTAGGGGGGTTTAGGGTTGGGAGGTTTATAGGGTTTAGAAGGGTTTCAGATTTAGGGTTTAGGGGTTTGGGGCTTAGAGGGTTCAGGAGTTCAGGGTCTAAGGGTTAGGGGTTCAGGGGTTTAAGGGTTTAGGGTACGGGGTTGGGTTTCAAGAAACCTGGGAGGATCGAACAAGTGGCTCCCCTAATTTGGGATCCCATACTATTACAGGATATCTTTATAGGAACCCTCTTCGGGGAGCTACTTTTTGGACCCTCCAGGGTTTGGGTTTACGTAGGGCTTTGGTGTTCAGGCGCTTTCTGTTCTAGGGGTTTAGGGGTTTACTTAAAGGATTATAAGGTTTATGGGGTTTAGTAACTGGTGCAATACGTATTTAAGGTATATAAATATACTTAAAACTATTTACAGCCCCAGTAAAGGGACTTATCGGCCTACTTACTTCGTCGTATGATCCTCCCTTATATAATAGAAGCCGTATAGATGCCTTTAAGAAACCCCTTTATGGAACCCTTTTAAGGAACCTTACAAAGTCCCTTAATCCTCCCCTATGTAGATGGGTGGTTGTCAAAATTAAGGTCCTTTGTTGGGTACTCTAAATAATAGGTGCAGTATTATAATAAGGACCCCAAAAGGGACCAAAATTTTGACAACCACCCAGATGTTCTTTTGCCTTTGGTGTCAAGGTGCTCTGGAGTTGCAGGATTTCAGGGGTTTAGGGTTTAGGGTTTAGGGTTTATAGGCCTATAAAAGGCTATTATTCTACATACTTTTCGGGTCGGGTTTAGGGTGTAGGGAAAAGGATGTTTAGGGTTTGAGGTTTAGGGATATACGGGTTCTATAGGTTCAGGGTTCGGGGTTTTACGGGCTGCTAGATAGGCGCCTTGGGTCTGCTCATATTCCCTAAGGGTCCATGTACCCAAATAGTATATACATTGGCCTTATTGTAGTCCCTATATAGGTACGTTGGGCCCAAAGTATATACTACTTGGGTACATGGACCCTTAGGGATTCTCCAACTTGAGCATCTTTCTGAGCATTTTCAGAGGATGGAAAGGGCCAAGCTATTTAACCTTCAGATTGCCCCATGAGCAGATCATATATAATGCGCAAATACATAAGGTATAGTTCCCTAAAATACATAAGGTATAGTTCCCTAAACCCTAAACCCTCAACCGTGACATTGGGGCGCATTGCTTAACCCGACGTTGCGCTTGCACCAGACCCTGTGGTCGCTACCAGTAATGCACACCCCTGATAAAAAGCCTCTTTAGTATCTTTACTGTAGAGGCCTTAATAATTACATATACTATTTCGGGGATTCCTGATCATAATTATATTATATGGGAGTTTCCGAAAATAGGGGACCCTAATGTAGTACCCTATATACTAGGATCCTTTTTGTAAGCCCCCAAAATAAGGTACCCCTAATTTTCGGAAACCCCCATATGGGCCCCGAAAGAAACCCTATTCTATTTATTGAGGCCCCTATGGTAGGCTCCCATGCAGGCGGGCTCAGCGACGATGATGGCGGCACCGCCAAGGCAATTTACCGCTTTGCGGTTTAGGGTTTAGGGTTTGGGAGTGCCACCGTTGTGTTTCTGAGCAGATGTCTTGATTCGTATGCTTTGCTTGTCCTAGGTTCCTGAGTAGTACCCTTTGGCCCTTTTTGTTTACAGTTCCCCTTGTTGCAGTCGAATAGTAGGAACAAGGGTAAGCTTTTTGAATATACAGGGGCTACTCAGGAACCTAGTTTCTTGATGCGTCCTTCGAATGGATGGGTGTGTTCGATTTTGCCAGGATGTAGGTAGATGGAGGGCTCAAGGAAAGAACGCCCATCCCCAAACCCCAAACCCTAAACCCCGAACCTCCTCCAGGTGGTCCGCGGTGCCCAAGTTGCTAGGAATGTCGGAAGAATTGTGAGTTTCCGAAAACTAGGCCCCCCCCCCCCCCATTTTGGAGTCCATATAACAAGGATCCTACTATTTAGGGTGGTATAGTAGGGTCCCCTATTTTCAAAAACTCCCAATTCATCCTTGGTCTTCTCGACTGTTTCCGATTGCTTCCCTGGTATTAACATGGAGCTAATGTGGCTGTGACATTGAAAGGGTTCCTAGAACAATTCTCGACTCTTGGAACGGGGTCCTGTTCTTCGAAGATGCCTGACAGCTGAATCCTACATCGGACGGTTCTATATGCAGCACAAACGCTTGAACTTGTTTTGAGCAAGCAATGGGGACGTGTACTGTGCGATAGCCTTGGAAATCTGTAAACTATCAACGACATGTCTTCATTGACAACTGCAACACCGAATCATGCTTGTGACGTGTCTGTAACATCTTATGGACCTGGCTTCCGCTGGTCCATGCCAAGCTGTCTGTTCAACCAAACGGATTTTGCAAGCCAGACGAGGTGTCCGTTGGTGTGGACGATACGCTGCGAGAGGCTGGAACACGTATTGCTTGGCTCATCCTTTTTTTTTTGGTTTTTCAGGGATAAGGGTTTTTTATGATTCTTAAGGGCTTTACATGGGGGTGTACAATCTTTCTTAGGGTTCGCCGGGGTTTCGGATTTATCGGTACTTACGTTCAGGCAAGTTCGCCCCGAGAGTGCACTTTTCACGGTGCTGGCGGTGTTTCCCGCGATGTAGGGTACTTGCTTCTCTCGCCACCAACACCATAGCTGAGAATACTGAATTCAATCATCAGGCTACTTACCAAGCAGGGTCAACCTTAGACCCCGGTCCTTTTCCATATCTGTTCTCTCTACACCCTAACCCCAAAACCTCACAACATAGACCTAGCAGCTAGCAGCGCGTCTGGATGCCTGAGTCAACGCGGTGCCCGATTGTCTTTTCTATACCCCCAAACCCGGTTCTAAGTATTCAGGCCCTTTTACCGACACTATTTGCGGGGCTTCCTTACTATAACTGTAACTAAAGTATCATATACCCGCAAACCGTATTTTAAGTATTAACGCCCCTCACACCTGAAAAGCACAGCCCGCCACCATCCCTGCAGCCGGAACTCCCCCCGAGCTCGGACGCTTCAGATCTGCGCCTAGTAACCTCCCAACCACTGGGCGTTCGGAGCGTCCTCTGGCGGAATTCTCACCAAACCTGTCTTCTCAAATCCACAATGTTCTCCTGCTCTCGTCCTGTCTTCCCAGATTTGTCTTCCCAGAGTCTCGCCAGACTTGTCTTCTCAGACTCGTTTTCGTTTCAAGACTTTTTGTCATGTCCGTTTTCGAAGATCCCAGCAGGTCGCTGGCGAAACCGTCACGGATGCAGTGCAAGCCCTCCGAGAATCCAGGTTGATGCCGTGGAAGCTGCCAGACCTACATGGTGTCAGCAACATGCAGGGTCTGCGTCTGCGACTGAGCTCAACGCGAGCTCTCGTGAATAAGAGTGCCTACAGCAAGCTCCTGACCGAAACAGTCGCTGGCCTGGCCCGTTCCCGTACATGCATTGGGAACCCCTCTGTCTGGAGGATCATGCGGCTTAGTAGGTTCCTGAACAAAGGGCGCCTCAAAAGGGTTCTGTAACGGGTTCCTTAAAGGGATCTAATTCTACGGGAGGATCGTGTAACATAGTAAGTAAGGGTACAAGTAGCTTGCTTGGGTTATCAGTAAGTATAGGTACGGCTATCGTATTTATAACACCTTCGCTGCTGAGTCCTTCGATCCAGCCCGCAAAGCCGTGTAGCATCCTTTTCAATACTGTAAATCTCTTACTATTTCCATTTACAGAACCACAGAGAGACTTCGTACTATACAAACCCTCCAAACGCCAAACCCTAAACCTCACTAAACTAAACCCCTGAAGCGCGATAAACTCCAAACCCTATACACTGAAGCCCTAAACCCCAAACCGTAACCAAACCCCTAGCTGGACCCCAAAAGTATGTAGAATAATAGCCTTTGAGGGGGATTGGGCCATTATCTTACCTACTTTGGGGGAGTTAGGCAACCCAAAAGCCCTCCCAAATCGAAGAGCCCTCCCCCTCCGCAGTCGAAGGTGAAGCCCTCGTATCGGATTCCCCGAGCCGACGTGGCCGAGGCGTGCGTGCAGGCAGGTGAGAGATATGCATGGTCCATTTTTTCGCGCGAAGTTTTTTTCAATCTTTCACAGCGTTTCAGAGTATGTCTGATAGCTGTGCCTTGTAATTTTGTCAGCTTTTGACAGCTTTTCTTGAGACAGTCGGTTTTTGTAGAGATAATCTTGTTTTCAGGGTGTTATATAGGGGTCTTCGGATCCCACACCCACTGTTGAAGCCTCAGGGTTCAGGGTTAGGGCTTGGGGCTTAGGGGGTTTGGGGTTCAGGGTTGGTGTTGCTCGTAGGTTTTTTCGAAGGGCTGTAAACGGGCTCTGTTTTAAGAGGGGTTGTCATTCGAATGTCGATCCGAAATCCAACCCTGAACCTCGAGCTCAAATCTTGTCAGGCCTCGGAGTGCTTCACCTTGCCAAACTCTATACTTAAAACCCCAAGCCATAAACCCTAAACCCAAAGCCCTCACCCTCAACCCTAAGTGGTAAGCCCCAAACCCTGATTCCCAATTGCCAAGTCTTACGCCCTAAAACTTAAGCCCCACACCCTAGATCCTAAGCCCGAATCTTAAACCCCAAGCCCTATGTAAACTCAGGGCTTGCGGTGCGCGGTGCAAGGTGGGGGTTCATGTCAGACAGCCGGAATTAAATATTACAACATCTGTAGCGATTCTTACGGTTCTTTAAATAACATGTCAAGGAACCTCCAAAGAACCTCTAGCAGAACCATTATTTCAGGAGCAAAGAAACCTCAAAGGACCCCTTTAAGGAACTGTTAAAAGAACTTTGAAGAAACTTTGACTACAGAATCCACTGGGAGACCCCTATCTCCCTTATACATATGTATGTACGTATATATATATAGATAAAGAATAGAGCCCTTTCAAGAACCGTCAAAGGTTAACCTTAAAAGAACCCTAAACAAACCCGGCCTCCCAGGCCTTGGAGTGCAAGGATCCGTATCCCTTATAGAAATCCGAAGCCACAAACGCCCTAAGCCCTGAACGCCCTCAGCGATAACCCCTAACCCCTAACCCTATCCCCTTGTTGTAATTCCTACAGAACTTTTCAATAGCTTTCAACGGAACCTGAAAAGAACCCTTAAACTACCCCTTACCTCCCAGGCCTTGGAGTGCCCTCAGAGAAGCACTAAACCCGAAACGTCCTAAGCCCTAAGCCCGAAACTTTATAAGCCCTAACCCCTGAATGCCCTGAACCTTAAACCCCAATCCATAACTCTATCCCCTTGTACCAATTACTTATAGTAGCAGAAACGACTGTTGTGGCGTGTAGAATGCGGATCTAGAGTAGTGATAGCCACAACAGTCCATTTAAGTGCGCGGTAAGCGACATCAACCTTTTGACCTTTCTATTGCGATTCCTACAGAACCCTGTCATGTCAACAGAACCCTTTGGAGATCCGGTACCCCTTGTGGAAGCCCTAAACCCCAAACACCCTAAACCCTAAACCGGCCCTGATCCCTGATCCCTACTTGGAGCATCATGGCACTTCGTAAGTAAGGTTATAAGTACCTTAGTTGGGGTTATACGTAGTTATAAGTATAGTTACCCTAATTATAACCCTAGGTACCAAGTCCCATGATCCTTTAAGTAATCCCTAAACCCAAAACCCAAAGATCCCTTTAAGGAAGCCTATAGATAGATCCCTTTAAAGAGCCCTTTAAGAACCCTTACTAAGTCCCATGATCCGTTAAGTAGACCCTAAACCCTAAACCCTATAGATCCCTTTAAGGAACCCCTTAAATATCCCCTTAAAGGAACCCTAAACCCTAGTTACTAAGTCCCATGATCCTTTAAGTAACCCTGGTAATTATACTCCTTTGGGGGTTCCTTAATAGTAATCTAGTATAATATACACCAACACCCTATTCTATTTATAAAGGCCCAATCCCTAACTCTAATCCCATCTCCCAGGCCTTGGAGTGCAAGGAGGCGCTGGATCGCAGTTTCGACTTGGGCTCCACGGACGCGGGCCAGGCGCTGACCTCCCCGGAGGATTTCAAGGCGCATGGGGGGGGTTTAGGGTTCAGGGATTTAGGGTTTAGGGTTTAGGGTTTAGGGGTTTAGGGGTTTAGGGGTTCAGGGGTTTAGGGTTCAGGGATTTAGGGTTTAGGGTTTAGGGTTTAGGGGTTTAGGGGTTTAGGGGTTTAGGGTTCAGGGTTTAGGGTTTAGTGTTCAGGGATTTAGGGGTTTAGGGGGGAAGCTTCACCTTCGACTGCGGAGGGTGGAGGGCTCTTCGATGTGGGAGGGCTTTTGGGTTACCTAAACCCCCCAAAGTAGGTAAAATAATGGCCCAATCCCCCTAAAAGGCTATTATTCTACATACTTTTGGGGTCCAGGCTGGGAGAAGGCTGATTCTGCTGTTTTGCTAAAGTTCTGCTGAAGTTGTTGATGGTTGTTTGTAAGGTTTATGGGTGTGTTTTGCAAAGCATGTCGAGATTCTTGGAGGTTTAGGGACTCTTCTGGGGTTGTAGCAGAGTTTTACAGGGCATGTATATTGGGTTTATGGGGGTTTCAGGAACGACTGGCAACGGTTTGTGGGGTTTTAGGGCTGAAGTAGGGTTTGCTTCTGTCATGCTCAGAGACATTACAGGGATGTTTTGGGATGTTACAAGGGGATTGGGCCGAGGGCTTGTATCATGGACCTTCGTGGGGAATTGACCGAAAGTAGGGCATCTCGGCCTCAGGCTTTCAGGTTTTGGGGGTCTAGGTTTCCGTTTTTAGGGTCAGGGCAAGTAGCTATGGGATCAGGGTTCAGGGTTTAGGGTGCAGTTTTTGGATGGTTTGTTGGCGAGTGTATGTCGGGCTCATCCGGGGCTACATTATGGAACCCATTCTGTTTGCTTTTGCTCATGAGCTTGTTATTTGGAAGGGCACCGAAAGGGGGCCAAACATCAGGGCCGTCATAGGGTTTTATAAGCTTTAATAGGACTTGTAACATGATTTGATTTAGAAAGGCTCTGTGGGGTTTTCAAGGTGCACCTGGACGCTTAACGGTTGTTCCTGCTGTTTCCTGCTACCTTAAGTTTCCTGTTAATGGATCCCAGCCATAAGCTAGGCTGCCCAAAAAGACCCAAACCCCAAACCCTGCACACTTACGTAAACCCAAAACCCTACTTGGAGGGTTGGGGGACTTAGTAAGTAGGTAGTAAGTAGACTTATAAGTACCCTAAAAGGCCTAGGGTTTATTAGCTGCCGTACTATAATAGGGACCTAAAAAGGGACCATAATTTTGACAACCACCCAGGTGACTATGGGGCAGGTAGGTATACAAGTACGGTAGCTGCATGTATTTTTCTTGATACGTAAGCCCCTCGATGAAACCCCGGTGACTCCACAGGGTCTATAGTTTAGAGTTCCGGGTTTAGGGTTTAGGCATTATGGATACGTGGAGTCCCAACCACGGTACCTGCAACCATTCCTTTCACAAGCCCGACCCTTCAAGCAGACGCTCCCACCCCGCAAGGACCAAAACCAAAACAAACTCGATGCATCCCGGTTAATACTTGAAGCTGGCGCAGGCCATCCTCGCGACGCTTGAAGGCAAGAACTGCGACTACACCATCAATCCTCCTCCGTGAGAGTGGGCCGCTGCTTCAGATCGCTACAACTCTTGCTGACGGCTGTGCACCGTCGTTATTTGGACGATGCTCTGAGTAATTATGTTGGGTAGAGTTTTTGGATGAATTAGATTTTCGCCGTCGTGCCCTGTTCTACTTCGAGCATTGCTCCAGCTTGTGTTATTTTGTTGCACGACGTTGCTATGATCGCTGTGTGTAGCAACATACAGACATGCTAAATTTCAAGCCTATCCGCATGCTGAGCGAAACTCCAAGTTGTTGTTCAAGCCTGACATACACCTTTGATTAGATAAGGTTTTTTCCGGGAGTCATGGGAGTCATGGTCTATTGCTTATACTCATATAATGTCTGATGCAGGATGTTATCCATCAGCCGCGAAGTAAGGGCCTTAATAATCAGAATATTATATCAGTCCAATGAGGAACCCCCCAAACCCTATTCTAATTATTAAGGCCCCTACATTACCACCCCTTCAGAGCCGGCTATGTTTTTTCCATTAGCGCTTGCTGACCAGGCGACAGCAGTACTCGAAAGATGCATGGGGGGGGGGGGGGTTGGGAGTTTGCTATTTCAGGGGTACCGTCTCTTGGAATCCCTCTAGGGAAAGGGGTGAGAGATACTCATAGATACTCACATAGTATTCCGTACGGTTCCTTAAAATGACATCTTGGAACCATGCTCTTTTATACCCGCCAAGCCCTGTCTATCCATAATGGCCCTGTGTTGAGAGCTGAGGGTTTAGAGTTTAGTTTGGGTTTATGTAAGCGAAAGGGATTTGGGCTTGCATGACTTTGTTAGGCCTGGGATCTCGTAGACACTTAAAGGTATATGGTTGAGCGCTTGATATAGGGGCCTTGATAATCCGAATAGGGTTTCATAATAAATATAGGAAGCCCTAGACCCAGAAATAAAAATGTACACAACCCTAAAGTCCAAAACTCCAAAACTCAAGCAAGTTTTTAGCCCATTTTAGCCGCCACTCCGAGGGCTTCTCGGGGAACATGTCAGCCTCAGCGTGGCTGACGTCGTCACGGAGGCGTTGTCGCGGCAGCGAACAGCAGTCTCCACTACCAGGCCTTTATGCGGGCTCCCCCACGGCGAGTGCATCGGCCAAGTCAGCAAAGTATGTTGATGCCGGCTACTTCATAGCCGTGCCGTCCTGGGAGTACGGCGACTGCATAACCCGCGTTTTCCCAGGCGTCGCCGTGGTCATCGCCAGTTACTCCAGGGCGTGCAGCTACGCTAGGGCCCATGGTCAGGAAGTTTTTCTTGGCGACTCCACGTGCATCCAGGAGTTTGCGGGGTCATTTTTGACCTGCACTCAGCAGTGTTGTTCTTGTCGAAGGGGAGACGTCTTTTGCTCGGGCTCTACTGACATACTGGCAGTCGCCGCCTCTGCGGCTTCTTCAACTTCTGCGTCTTCTGGACGCATTCGCTTTTCGAAAGCGCTTAATTCGGCTTTGCCAAACGGGCTGTTTAATTCGGTTTCACGTATTCGTTGTGCAACTACCCTAAATACCCACTATGAAGGACCCTAAGGGCTCTATGAAAGGGCCATTGGGGAGGGGCGGTCCTGGTGTTTATAGATCCAAAGGTAAAAGGAGGGACCCTTAATAAGGATCGCTAGGTATACACCCTTAATATAGCCATTAGATACCCAGTATTTAGCCCATGATAGGGTAGGGGTCCCCATTAAAAGTCCCTCCTTTTCCCCTTTGATTGAGTTAAAGGAATCTTTCTTCAGAAACCCTAGGGATCCCTTTAAAGGACAGAATAGTACCCTTTATAAATCCCTTTGAAGGAACCCTCACAGATCCCTTTTTTGGAACCCTGGAGATCCCTTCAAGTAGTTATAAGTATAGTTACCCTATTTATAACCCTAGTTACTAAGTCCCATGATCCTTTAAGTAGGTTCCGGGGCTCTGGTATAGTACCCTTACTAGGTAGGGCTTTGGGACATTTTATATTTTCTCTTATTGGGCTTAAGAGGATCTTACCTACTAATATTTTTCAATTGCTTTAAAAGCACCTCCTAGCTTATCTTTCCCTTTAAAGGACAGAGGAAGCTTCGAGGCTCTGGTGGGTTTCGGGCTCGGGGCTTTGGTTGTCCGGATTGCCCTCACCCCTAAACCCCGAACCTTCAACCCCAGACCCTACCTGTAGCCGAAAAGGCCTACCTTTTTAAGGAGCTCTATGCAGAAACCATAATAAGGAACCCTAAAAAGGTAGGTCTTTTCGGCTACAGGTAGACCCTCAACCCCCAGACCCTAAACCCTAAACCTTAAACCCCCTAACCCTAAACCCATAAACCCTAAACCTCGAGCCCTGGCCCCTAAACCTTCAACCCCAGACCCTAAACCCATAAACCCTAAACCTCGAACCCTGAACCCTAAACCCTAAACCTTAAACCCCAGACCCTAAACCCATAAACCCCTAAACCTCGAACCCTGAACGCTAAACCTTAAACCCCAGACCCTAAACCCATAGCCCATGATCCCTTAACCTCGAACCCTAAGGGTTGAGGGTTTAGAGTGGGAGATTGTCTCTTTAGGGGGGGGATCCATAGAGGTTCCTGTAAGGGATGTGTAAGTTTCCTTCAAGGTTAAGGTTTAACGCTGAGAGTTTAGAAAAAGAGGGTCCCTTCAACTAAACGGGTTTAGGGTTTATATCGGGGTTTAGGGTTTATGGCATGAGGGGTTGAGCTCTCAAGGTCTCGGTTTTGGGGTTTTAGGGTCCTGGGGTGTAGGGTTTCAATGTCTCAAGTTCTATCTGGACCTTATAGAAACCTTCAGTTTGGGGGTTCCCTATGTCGATTTCTGTATATATAAGTCGGCAAAAAGGGTAGGTTATAGTCGGGGTCATGGTAGGGTTTCGGGAGAATTTGTCCGATATCCAGCAGCGTCAGATATGCAAGAAGTTTCCTCCGTTGCAGAGCCGAGTGCCGCAGCAAAGCTTCTCGGAGAGCAGGAGTAGAGAGAACGCCCTGATAATAAGATTAAACCCTAAACTTTAAACACCCGAAAAGCTCATGCAAACAGTCAGCGAAGATTCGAATCCTGCCCTAAGCCTCCAGAGGGAACACGGACATGAGATCCAACAGCCCTCGGGTTCACGGTCTAGTGTGTATTAGGCCGCGCGAATGCGAGTTCCCTGAACCTTCGCGTTAGGTTCTGCAAGCTCGTATCTCCACACGGCAGCCAAAATTTACACCTCCATACCGGGGAGCCTGATCCTAATGCAAACCACATAACTCTTGTCGAACTCTTATACTAACCCCTGCACTGAACCCCAAACCCCTGAACCCCAGTCGCCAAACCCCAAAACCCTAAAGCCCCAAACCCTTAACCCACCCCTACCTAAACCCTAAACCCTAAGCCAGAAAACCCTAAATCCTAAACCCCAAACCCTAAACTATAAGCCCTAGACCCCAAACCCTCGAATACTGGGGCTTCGGCCACATGGCGCCCGGCACGCAGCGTCCTGATGCCTTTCAGGCAGGTTGCGGATTAGGATTTGGGGACAGATGGCCTCTTTAAGGGATCTTTAACAGTTAAGGGCATACTTAAAGGATCACGGGACTTACTAACTAGGGTCATAATTAGGGTAACCATACTTATAGCCACTTAATAACCCCAATAAGGGTACTTTTAACATTACTTATTAAGTCCCATGATCCTCCAAGTCGGAGGCTGGGAATACGGTTTTGGGGTTAAGAGTTTCGGATTTATGGTCCTAGGGTTTAGGGGAAGACGGGCTCTACAAGGGGCTCATAAGGGCTTCGGGTTTGAGGGACAGGGAACTGAGTAGCCAAGTAGGGTTTCAAGGATCATGAGACTTCGTAGCTCAGTTAGGTTTGAGGGGTCATAGGACTCAGGAACGAAGGTATACTAAGCCAACGAGACGAACAAAATTTCGATCCCACTTATGAGCCGCTATTGCTGGCCTACTGTAATTCTGGACCTGGAACGGCTGGAACGGGTTAATGATTTGGGGTTGAGGCAGGGTTCAGGTCTGTGAGGACTGAGAGTTTAGGGTTTGGGGATACGTAGGGTTTGGGAGTTTGGGGTTTGGGGACTTATATACTAGGTCATCCAGCGTTACCCTTTTCGCTTAGGTTCCTCCGTGGAAGACTGGAAAACGGAAACCTATTCTCAAAGGAGGAGGAACTTTCTTGGAAGAAGGGAGGTCCCTACGTGCAGGGTTGAGGGTTTGGGCCAAAGCCCTAAACCCCAAACCTACCTGCCGATCCTCCCGGCAATCATTTGCCCGTGGTGACGGTCCGCAATCTTTCTCAACTTCCTGTCCAACAAATGGCTCTTGGCACGGTTCTGCCGAGGGACGCTTGTGTCCGTCCAGCCTGCAGGAGAAGATCTGCGAATATCAGTATTCGCAGATACAGGCTCCGTTCAAGGGAAGCCCGTGCATCCGTGATGCTGTGATGGGCACACAGCTCTTGCATCTGAGAGGCCGCAGCCCTGGATCCTTCCGAACCGGAGGAAGCACTGAGCAAAGAGGAGGCAAAGAAGCTGGCGACCCCCTGCTGGAGATCTTGCTTTATGTTTCAGTCTTGGATATGCCAGGGCATGCCGAAGCTTCACTCCGAATCCTAAACCCTACACCCTAAACCCTAAGCCCTAAATCCTTATAAACCCTAAACCCTAAACCCTAAGCCCTAAATCCTTATAAACCCTAAACCCCTGAACCCCTAAACCCCTAAACCCTAAACCCTAAACCCTACACCCTAAACCCCAAGCCCTAAATCCTTATAAACCCTAAATCTTGATCTGTTTGCAGGCTCCTGGTGCTACTGAGCTGCTGCGCCGGGAGCGGCGATGCCGAGGCCTTTGTTCCCCGGACGTTTTTGCCTTTCTTAAAGGGCCCCAAATGGGCTTAACCACGGGTTTAGGGTTTAGGGTTCCTTTAAAAAGGGATCTATAAGGGTTCCTAGAATGGGATCTATAAGGGTTTAGGGTCTTTTTGGAGGATCATGGGACTTCGTA